ATAACAAATAAAAATACTAAAAAATATGTAAAAAGAAATCATTGTATAAAAGCCGATTTTTAAATGCGCCGCAAAAGTTTTACTCTTAACCGTAATCATAACTTTTCTGCTAGTCCTAAGCCTAGATTTAAAGCATGAAGGAAAATCGCGAATATCTACGAGTATCCTTGCTTCCTACAATTAATTGTTTGTGATTGTCGTTAGCTAATAAAACCAAATCATATCACAAACTAGTGAATTGGTTAAGTTCAGCACATCTGAAATCGGATATCTAAAAACGGATTTTAAAATCGATTTTGAAATCTGAAATCCGATAAATATCCGTTTGCGTTCAAAACCAAAAACGGCCATGTCTACTGTAAATATTCCGACATTAATTTATAAGTTTATATGTGTAATCTAATTGCGTTTTGTTATGATTATGCGTTCTGTTCTAGTCTTATTTTAAATCATCATGTTATTTTTGATTTTTTTTTTATTCCACTCAACCGGCAGGTGGAGCCAATAGACAGTTAGTTTTGTGTAATAGTTATATATTTGTTATCTTTATTTGTATTATATATTATTTATTTATTTTTTAAGTATATAAGCTTAAATTGTATGTCCAGTTTGGAAATAGATAGTGATGATGATTTTTTCCAATCTGTATCACCAGCTAGCGGCAGCACTAGCAGTAGTTTTGTTAGTATACCCTCTCTCTCTGAATACCTTGATAACCAGTTTTCTGATGTACCTAGAAATTTTAACGTGGTTCATATCAACGCGCAAAGTATTCCGGCTCACTACACTGATATGTTGGCGTCTCTTGACAATAAAAATCTTCATGCCGTTTTAGTCTCCGAGTCCTGGCTTAAACCTTCACTACCTTCTACTTCATATTCTTTACCTGGTTTCCAGTTAATACGCAACGACCGTGTTGGTTCTCGAGGTGGTGGAGTTGCTATTTATCTGCGTACTGAAATTCCCTATACTGTCATTAGCTTCTCCACACAGCCTCCTCCAACTAATGCTGGCGAGCATTTGTTCGTTGAGATACTTCTCTCACACACGAAAGTCCTCCTCGGAGTCTACTACAGCCCTTCCATAACTGTAAACTTTTTCAGTTCTTTTGAACAGCTTTTAGAAGATTGCGTCCCTTCTTACGACCATTCCCTGATCATGGGTGACTTCAACACTTGTCTTTTGAAAGGTGATTTTCGTGCCACCTCCCTCCAATCCGTTGTCAGTTCATGTAATTTACACATCCTTCCACTTAGCGCTACTCATCATTTCCCAAATACTACTCCTTCACTTCTAGACTTATTAATAGTGTCTTCTCCTCAACGTGTTATGAAACATGGTCAATGTTCGGCGGATGCATTTTCATATCATGACTTGGTTTTCTTATCATACAAGATCCGTCCTCCTAAGTCCAAGCCCAAAGTCATTCTTCAGCGGAATTTTGGTGGTATGGATCGGGATGCGTTTCTCAAAGACGTGCATGGAGTCGACTGGTCGTTGGTGACTGATGCCGTGACTGTGGACGAACAAGTATCTGCTTTTAATAATATAATAACCACACTTTACGATAAACATGCACCGTTTCGTCCCATTAAACTTAAGCACCATCCAGCACCTTGGCTAACACCAGATATAAAAGCATTGATGCTCAAGAAGAACGTAGCTAAGAGTAAATATAAAATTCGTCCGACAGACTCCAATAAAACTAATTATGTCAAGGCTCGTAATCACTGCAACATGGTGTGTAGGGATGCTTTACGTCGCCATATTCATGCTTCTGTCAGTAATAATGATCCTTCTAAAGTGTGGAACTTTCTTAGGTCACTTGGAATTGGTAAATCTCGTCAAAAGTCTATTCCTAGTAACGTTGATATAAATTCACTTAATACTCACTTCTCTTCATCGTCTAGTCTTAGTGATTCACACAAGACTAATACTTTAAATTTTCTTTCATCTTTACCAGTTCCTGACTACTCACCTTTTGTCTTTACTCAATTCACCGAATGTGACGTTAGGAAGGGCATGCTATCCATATCTTCCAATGCGGTAGGTAATGATAGCATAAGTCGTAATATGCTGATACCTATCCTAGATATAATCCTTCCTATACTTACCTTTCTTTTTAATAGCTCTTTAGCAAACGCTGTTTTTCCATCGGCTTGGAAAGAAGCCCAAATCATCCCTTTGCCCAAAAAATCCAATCCTCAATCTTTTGCCGATTTTAGGCCTATTTCTATCCTTCCCTTCTTATCTAAAGTCCTCGAACGTCTGGTTCATAACCAATTAAATACATTCCTGTCTCGTCATGACCTTTTAAACCCTCTCCAATCTGGTTTCCGCCCTGGGCACAGTACCACGACTACCCTCTTGAAAATCACAGATGACATTCGCCTTGGGATGGATCAAGGTCACCTAACGGTACTGACATTATTGGACTTCAGCAATGCCTTCAACACTATTAATTTTGACATTCTTCTGGCGTTGCTGCGCTCGCTTAACGTATCTCCATCGGTGATTGAGTGGTTTCGCAGTTATTTGCAGGAGCGCAGGCAGAGGGTTCGCCTCGATGAGATTTTTTCCTCATGGTGCGACACTTCCGCTGGTGTTCCCCAAGGCGGCGTTCTATCTCCTCTTCTTTTCGCTATATTTATTAATTCTATTTCCAAAAATATTTCTTCTTCCTACCACCTGTATGCAGATGATCTTCAAATTTATAGACAAGCCCCTCATGATCAATTATCTGAAGCAATACTGGCCACCAATAATGATTTGCGACATATTGTAGAGTGGAGCAAATCCTTTGGACTAGAGATAAATCCCTCCAAAACACAATGCATCATTATAGGTAGCTCAAGGTTGATTGCCAAAGTGAATTTGCAATTACTTCCTAACGTAACTCTTGCTGGCACCAGTATTCCATTTAGTGTATCTGTTAAAAATTTAGGAATAATTGTCGATAACCGTTTCAGTTGGGATCCACAGTTACAAGCTGTTAGCCGAAAATTGTTTGCTTCAGCAGCTTCGCTGAAGAGACTCCGTAATTTCCTTCCAATTGCCACCAAAATTGCCCTAGCACAGTCTCTGCTACTTCCTATTCTTGATTACGCTGACGCCTGCTATCCTGATCTCACAGAGGACCAGCTAAACAAGCTTGAGCGACTTCAAAATTTCTGCATTCGGTTTATATTCTGCTTACGCAAATATGACCATGTATCTCAATTTCGATCACAGCTCAAGTGGCTACCTATTCGCCTTCGCCGGAATACTCACATCCTCACACTTCTTTACAATATATTGTTCAATCCTTTGTCCCCGCGCTATCTCAAGGAATGCTTTAATTACCTTCATAATTCCAATGCGTTATCTCTAAGGTCATCAGAAAATTTAACCCTAAAGATTCCTATTCATGACACGACCTTCTATGGTCGTTCTTTTAACGTCCAAGCTGTACGTCTATGGAATTCTCTTCCTGTATCCATAAGACAAGCGCAATCTATTAATGTCTTTAAAAATCTAGTTGTAAATCACTTTTTGTCTATGTAGCTGCATTTTTATCTCTGCTGACTGGACTAAACTTATATATGTGTAGTCTATGTATTGTATAATATGTATATATGTATGTATATATAATATGTATATTTAATTCATAAATTCGTTCATATACCTTGTTTCTTTTACTGACACCGCCGACTCTAGCTTTCTTTCAATCCTCTCCATCCAAAGGTTGTCTGGAAGAAATCGCTTTTAGCGATAAGACCGCCCATTGAAGCACTCTTTTTTTTACAATTGTAAATTCCCTCATTTCTGTTCTGTGTTGTGGTGTTTTCAATAAAGTATTGTGTATTGTATTGTATTGTATTGTAAAATTCCAGAAAATCGTAATGTTCAAAAATTGCATTTTTCCTATATTTATTTTAAGGCTAGATCAGCCAGTTTTTTTCTTTATGTATTTTTTTGTAAATAAAATGTGGTAACTCATAAATTTTATTACTTTCATTTAATGAGTATCTAATTGTCCCTTAATTAGAATTTATTTTATTAAGCTAGCATTCTTAGTTTGCGAGATTTTAAGGATTCTTTAAGTGACCCACCCGGATTCATTGCTCTCCAGTGTAGAACCTTATAGATTTAACTGGGTTCGTAATTACTGTTTCTTTTTTACAAAATACTAAATTACTTTTATTTATTAAAAAATCAGAAGGGATCGTATAGGTTGAAGTTTTAATGAAAATCAATTGCGAAGATAACCAACACTTGCATATATATTTTTTTTAATGTTAAAAGGGCGGCAGATAAGCGCATGGCCCGCCTGATGGTAAACAGCCACCATAGCCTATAGATAGACGCTGGCGATACCAAAAACATTACTCGCGGCGTTGCCCACCCTGACCCAATCCCCTACCTCGTGGAGCCCTGGAACCTTACTCACCGACAGAAATACAACACCTGATCTTCTGTAAGGTGGAGGTTACTACCCCAGACTACGCGACCATTCGGAGACGGGTGCCGCGACCACACCCACCCGCCCTCTCGGCACGCACTAGGGGGACCGCGGTCCTCATAGTGCGTGTCGGGTGACAGTACAGGAGGATTGTCTGGTTTTTAGTGGCCCTGTTCAGGGCGTAGGTAGGGCCCTGTTCACTTCAGCGAGCTCCAGGGCTGGCTGAAGAGGACAGGGTGGTCCCACATACCTTCTTCGTAAGTAACTACACTACGAGTTTCAAAAGTTATACTATAGTAATTTATGTTGTTAACGGGATTGCTACGCGCCTTGACCTTTCAAGCCCCCGCGTCCAGCTCATACTAGCATCAAATAAAATATGATCCGACTCAACTAAGTACTTAAGCAACTCTCACACACCAATAAGGCATTTATCAGACACAAAAAAAAAGATACTACCCTAGATTGGCGTTCCAATTAGAGCGGAAACTCCGCTATGCCCTAGCTCTATTTCAACATTGAATATTAAAAAAGAAAATCACTTTTTTTATTAAGGTACCTGATAGCATCCAATAAGATAAGCCGCATTGAGTCTGAGCGTCTCGTTGTTGCTGGTGTAGAAGACGATCTTCTTTCTGGGGTTCTTTTCCAATTCCTCGCTGAGCTTCTTGCAAAACTGGTACAAGTGGCACAGGTGATAAGGTCCAAAGTCGAAGTAGAAGTTCTCGTAGACGATGTCATCTTCGATGTGGAAGTATTTGCTGTTCCTGGTCGGTTTCGGTTTGTACCCCGTCTTGAGAGTCGCAAAGTAAAGTCTGTCTGGGAAAAGAGAAAAAATAATTTAACTTCATGCACGTACATGTCAAGTTACCCAATACTGTAAAAAAGTCCAATTGGTATTGAGGTTTATGATGACTCATTTTAAAACTCATAATTAAGAATCACAGTTTATTGTGAATTTCTTACAGTTTGTAGTTAGACATGTCGCGACATAACTATTATATTTTAATTGTTTATAGATTTTTAAATTAGTGATATTGATCTAATATTTTCACTCTTATTGGGGCCTAGGGCTTAGGAATGTACTTATTGTAAGAATTGATAATATATCAACACGCAGGCCCAATTTCAGTTCCACATAGTAACTCGAGATGTTATTATCTATTGGTCACCCGTTCATTGAGCAGCTACTGTAAATTGCTTTTATATAAGATTAAACAATTGTTTGATTCATACAAAGACAAATACAGACTTCCAACGCAATGTTTCCGTTATAAAAAAAACTCAGAATAAACAGTGAAGTCATTTCCAATTGGCATTTGAATAAAATAATAGCTAATAAATTCAACATTTCAGGGCCCCCAACACAACGATATGCATAACCAATATTTGGCCTAATAGCATTTTCATGGGTCCGCTGAACCTGTGCCGAGCATGACGCGTGAACAATTAAATACTCTGATTTAATAAAGTTACTGCTTACCTGATTTAATTAGTCCCACTAGCACCAAAACTTTTCATTCAAATTAACGCTTAATCGTGTTTAACAATTCATTACGTCTTTGTCAATTGTTTAAAGTCGAAAAGAGATAGAATGAAGCTTAGAGATGTTTACCTTTAAATTTGAATTAATAACTTTGGTGCGCGTGGGCCTTAAATAGTATAATTGAAAATTGGCCTATTAAAATAAACAATATTCTTGCAAATAATTTTATGAGTAATAGGTACTTTCTTAAATAGGACTTGGCAGAAAGTATGACAGCCCAATAAATAAGGTATTCGGTAACACAAAAGATTATTCGCCGTCTTCGAGTATTTCGATTCTCTATGTTAATAGCGATCGTATTCAGAACTTTATCATGGGAACGTAAAGTGTGTTGCCGGCACGCACTACCAGCCACAATAAACTCGTGTTTTTTAATAGAAAAACTTATTTCAAATTGTTTGCGTTCATGAATAAAAACCAGGGGGCCATTTACCTAACGGGATTGCTTTGGAATACGCTATCGCTTACGATTTCATTTTTTCTTCTTTTGCATTGGTAATAACAATATTAAAGAAAATGGGCCTGAGCTATTTGAAAACCTTCGGCGATCAGAAATAACAAAATGAAATCGTAAGCGATAGCGTTTTCCATAGCAATCCCGTTAGGCGAATGGCCCCCAGTTGGGGCTTCCCCGTCGGTATGTCGCATTCGCATGACTTGCAACAGTTAACCAACACATGTGTCTAGACTAGACCATTTCCCCCCTACTTACATTGTGCGGGCTGTATGCACCTAAATGACAGTTAATACACAAAGTTTCTATTAAGGCTTTTTTTTTTAAATACTTTAACTGTGAGGACAACTAAAACCAAAGTTTTTAAATCAAATTTAAAAACTTATCGTGTTATAACCTCATTCTTTTTCTATTTGCCTTTAAAATATGATAGAGATGGAATGATGCGTTTAACACAGGTTTAAGCCTTTGAATTTTATTTTTAATTATGACTCAGTGTTAAAACTTTGTTCGATATTTCCGACGAAATCGTCTTCGATATCGTCGGCAATATCGGACTGTATGACTGTAAACTGTATCCCACCAAAAACATTCTCTTGGCCTAATGCGAGTTGGATTCATATCCCAATCGCATTAGGCCAAGAGGGACAGTTGGCCTTCACCTGCAATAGTTCTGGGAACTACCATATCTTACCTAGACTTCTCACTTAATCTTGCCTCTATATATATTTTTTAATTGGTTCGTCAACACAGTTGTTACAATGTATCTATTCATTGCATATTCTTTAAGAAAACTTATTGTATAACTTTTTTATACAGACACAGCATGCATGATTGTTTTACTCTTAGTATAAGGTATAATATTAAAAAATAATGATGTGTGACGCGGGACGTTCCCTAAATATGGTTGAGCGAAGCGATGGTTGGTTCTTGCGTCATGCTCGTGAACGGGTGCTGCCAGCGGAAATGAGTCTGCTCTATACTGCGTTACCATTGAGATGTTATCTTTTATACCTAATATGTAATGATTAATACCTAATAGAACACCGTTTGTATTTATACTGTATATACACAGCAATCAAAATGTGAGTGGACGTATTGGTAGCGACATGATTTTTTTGTAATATTGCTACTTCTGTGAATTTCTGATGAGTTTCCGCGCCCATTCTTCTCATCAGCTAAACGATGTCCTGAATAACATGAAATTACAATAACTTACAATGAAAAAACATTGGACAATTGAAAAGAGCTTACAATAAGTCAATTTCAATAAAGTATTTCATTTCATTTCAATGAAAAAAACTATCAGAATGAAATGAAAAAAAAAATAGCCCAGTAAAGAAACTCGGGTTCTATACATATAACTTAACTAACATCTTCGATGGAAAGCACGTGGTGCTCTCTATGTTTGACTTGCACACGGATGTCCAACACGGGTAAGAGCAAAGGTCAAACATGCGGCGGCTAAGGGCCGAGGTAAATGCGGATGCCATCAATCCGAGGACCCTGAACTTTAAATGGCGCACTCCACTTCAACCTATGCACGCTTTCTTCGAGGGTTTATAATTGCCCCGGTGCCGTGCATCTTGGGAGGCGATGGTGCAAGCAAAAGGGTTTTATGGAAAAGATGAGCTTATGGGGGGTATTGGGTAATTTCTTGGGTTTGAAGAAGTTATTTTCAAAAAGCCTTAAATTCACTTACATGTAAGTAAATAAAAATATTATTTAATTTTTTAAATTAAGTACAAAAGTTTTGTAAAAAGTTAATAATTTTCCGTTATATAATTAAACAGTTTAGATTTAAAATTGGTGTATTAGTTCACATCTTTTATGTATGAAGGCAAATTATTGCAAACCTGTGTTAAAAAATGACAGGTTAGTATGGATTGTTTTATCATATTTTTTTCTAATCATTAAACAAGTGTTATATACTTACGTAAAGCTGCTTAATGCTCATTATTATTGTTTCTTTAAATATTTTATCAGTTCGTGTTAGAAACGGATAACCGAAGAGTGTTTTTGTTATTTTATTTTGCATTCTCTGAAGCTGTAGTGCCGCTATGACAAGGGTCTTAGCGGCATGACCCTAGATTTCAATTAGATATAATAAATTTGATATGACTAGACAGTTATTAATGGTGTAACGTAGTTTTCTGGGGATACATGACTTATTTTGCGAAGGAAAACAGTTCATTCTTAATACAGTCAATTTGTTTATGCCATCTTAGGCAACTGTCCATTCTCAAGCCAAGATATTTTCACAAGTCTTTAGTTCTAAGGGAATGTCATTTATTGTTAGTGGATCGTGTGCCGGAATTAACTTACTTTTTGCTTTAAAAATAATATAGTATGTTTAGAAGATATTAACGGCTAACCAATTATATTGGAACCATTCAAACAAGATTTTTAAATATTGTTACGTGTGGTGATGGGGTTCGAAATGATATGCCAGTTCACGCTTGACAGTTCTTCATTCACCACAAAGTTATCACTAAATATGGTACCACCGAGCTTAGCCTACCTCCACAGTAAATGAACTACAATTGCAGTGACTCCGCTGTGTTAATCAATCGTAAGTCCTAATATAATAGATACAATTCTCATTCGCAAAAATGAGGCGTATTCATTATGTGACAAACTACGTTTGGTCCGATGTACCATTCATAATAAACAGTCGAATTTCAATGCGATAATAAATTACGTCGAAGCGTAACAACGAACGTAAATATAGTAGGCATGCCTCCACACGCACTCAAATAGTACAAAACGTAGAACTCAAAAATTAAATGACTAAATCGAATAATGACCTTCCTTCAATATGGCCCTTTTTATGATGATACATTACAAGGTTTCCCAATTAGAGTATGATTATGATTTCCATATATATACTGACTATCGACCAATCGGCACGAGTCCGCAGGCTTGATGCAATCTGTAGTTCGCCCATATACAACACACACGATCAGTTTTACCTGGCAACGTTCAGTTGAAGTCATGGCGACACCAGTGGCGGACGACGATGTGTTAGCCATCTTGGGCATATTACTCGCGATAAAGAAACAAGATAAAAAAAAATATCGTGTGGAGTGGTGCAAACATTGGTTAATGTAAAGGAACTTAACCAAACCCGACCAAATGGCGCCAAAAATCTTCGACTCAACTCACAGACTAGACTCGACTGAAATCGATCGCACAATCGCCGTACACGGTCCATTCGGCATGATCGCATCGGCTTGCTCAAGCCAAAAGAATTGAATTTTGATTATTCCATCAAGTATAACTGTTATACTAATTCACGCCCACCCACGGTCCGTTCTACTTGTTGACACTGCCGATTGGACGATGGACATGATCGTGTATGGCTACCATTAGGATTATTGCTGTCAGAATTATACAAATAGCCATGTAAAATACTATCACAAGAGAAATTGAAGAGCAAGATTTTTATAATAAGAGAGGAAAAGCGAATTTTATTCGCTTTAATAATGATTACTTGAAACTATGATGGATAAGTATAGAACGCCTGCTTTGTAACCGGGATAAAATTAATTTTGGAATTACCTTCATTTCTTTCTTAGGAGAGTTTAAAATTAAGCTGCTTCCTGTATAGCCGCTAACTCCTCCTAAACATTTTTTAAAAGCGGTTTACATTATCAGTTGAGTATTTTTTTCACGGAAAGTTTAATTATATTTACAGTCATATACTGCTTGTTTAGATTTAAATTGTCGCCTTTAAATAAAGATATAAACAAATATACTGGTTCTTCGTGTGTATGTATCTTGTGGGAGGAGCGGGATACTTCTTTAAACTGGCGCTGT